ATGCTACTCCAATTGCCTTTAATTAGGGGGAATAATCACAAGCTCAAAAGAGTAACAGGCTTGAAGTCAGTTAAAAATCAGAGTAATCAGCTGGGGAAACATCAATCTGGTAAATCTTAATTTGTAATAACTTCTGTTCACTGAGTAACTTTTCTTCCCTTCCTCCCCACCTCCCCCCCACTGCCCCGTTTCTCAGATTAGAATTTGAACATTAAAAAGAGATGTGGCAAGCTGGGTGCCAGTGGCTCACCCCTGTAATCCTAGCTACTCAGTAGGTTGAGATCTGAGGATTATGGTTCAAAGGCAGCCTGGGCAGGAAAGTCCCTGAGATTTTTTTTTTGTCGGTCATGGGGCTTGAACTCTGGGCCTGAATGCTGTCCCTCAGTTCTTCAGCTCAAGGCAAGTGTTCTACCACTTAAGCCACTGTGCCACTTTTGTTTTCTAAGTGGTTTATTGGAGATTAGAGTCTCATGGCTTTTCCTGCCTGGGCTGGCTTTGAACCACCATCCTCAGATCTCAGCTCCTGTGTCACTAGGATTACAGGCGTGAGCCACTGGCGCCGGCTTCCCAGAGATTCTTATTTCCAGCTAACCACCAAAAAATCCAATTAACCACCAAAAACAACAACCCCAACAAAAAAAAGCCAGAAGTGGAGCTGTTGTTCACGTGGTAGAGTGCTACTTTGAGCAAAAAAGCTCAGGGACAGCAGCTAAGCCCTTAGTTCAAGTCATCTCTCCCTCCAAAAATTGTGATAAGGGAGAAATTAAAATCTATGCAAGCATGAGTCCCCTCCTTGAGTTCAGAACAAACAGAACTAAGAATTAGGTGTGGGTATCCTGATGTAATGTCTCTGGTGGATGTGGTCTCAATTTAGCTGGAGAGAAACAGACCAAGTGAGATATAAATCTTCAAACAGTGTTTCCTAGAGGTGTGTGTGTGTGTGTGTGTGTGTGTGTGTGTGTGTGTGTGTGTGTGTGTGTGTGTGTGTTGTGTGTGTGTGTGTGATCATTTAACACAGATTGCTGGCTGTCTTTTAATTTTTTTAAACAGACTTTCTAGTTTTTAAAACAAGGAAACTTCAAGAACATTTAATATCTAGACTACGTGGTTTTGTTCATTTTTCTTGAGGTTGGTTTCCATATGCTTCGAGAAAGCATAAGGTTAATATTTTCAAAGGCCTTTTTTGCTTGTTTTGGTACTGGGTAGTGAACCCATGATCTCATACACACTAGACAAATCCTTGGAACAATGAATGAATTCTATATATCTCCAATACATTTTCAAGATTTGTTTGTTTATTTGGTGCCAGTACTTGGGCTTGAACTCAGAATTTCATACTTTTGCTTAGCTTTTTTGCCCAGAGCCAGAGCTTTTCCACTTGCATCACGCCTTGGCTTCGGGCTTTTTGCTGGTTAATTGGAGATAAGAGTCTTTTGGATTTGTCTACCTGGGCTGACTTGAACTACTTCCCTCAGTTCTCAGCTGCCTGAGTAGCTAGGATTGCAACTGTGAGCCCTCAGTGCCCAGCTCACTCACGATTTTAAGTTACTATACCCGAGGAAAAAGACATAAACTCAAGGGAACAGGTGGTTGTTTTTCTTGGTGGAATGAAGAGAGATCTGGCTTTCTTGGCAGGCGTGTGCTGGATAATTCAGTTGAGGGGACAAGAACCAAAACCTACATGGTGCCTTAGTTCTATGGACCCCTGTTTGCTCATGAAAGTTCCTGGCAGTTAGTGCCCTTCCAGATAGTCAAAATTTCTTTAAAAATCTGCTCATTTCTTTTCCACATAAAGAGTGGGACCTGTGTAGACCCGGCTGTGGATGTCACAATATGTATCAGCTGTCAGAGAAGGAAGAGTGTTCCTCAAGGAAATTAGCAGTGTTGTCTGTGATGACAAAGCAGCGTATGCTTGCCTGAATTACACTTCTGAGAATGCGTCCCATCCTAAAACTCTCTGCGACCCATTGAGGAGATCCTGTGCATCTGTCTCCCTCCCTCTTCTACAGAAAGTGAAAACTAAAGAATTATAAGGCAGGGCTTGTGGAAGGAGTGTGATCTGGGGTTGTGGACCCAAGGGCTTCACAGGCTGTTGACTGGTCAGATGAGTGAAATGACTTCGTGGTCCCCACTGAATTACTGTAGAGCATGTTGCCACTTACTGGGTGATAAGCTGTCCAAAGGCATTTCTGTCTTTTGATGGGTTCCTTTGGCATGAGGAGTAGGTAGGGCTAGCCTCCTTCTTGACTTCATGCAGAACTTGTGCTCACATTGGGTGTTTGGGTCCATCATACCCTTTCCCTTCTGATCTAGTTTTCTGTACTGAGTCACCTCTCACATTGTAACACAAGGCTTTTCCTAGTTCTCTTGTTTTTTTCTCTCTCTGGCTTTTTTTTGTTACTCATGGGGCTCGAACTCAGGTCCTGTGCACTGTCCCTAAAGATTTTTGCTCAAGGGTAGTGCTCTACTGCTTGGAGCCACAGCTTTACTTCTGGTTTTCTAGTGGTTAATTAGAGATAGAGTTTCATGGACTTTCCTGCCTAGATTCTCAGATTTTAGCTTCCTGAGTAGCTAGGATGACAATTATGGGTCACCAGCTCCCAGCTTTGATTTTTTTTTTTTTATTCTTCTGCTATAAACAGTGTCTGGCACTGGTGGCTCATGCTTGTCATCCTAGCTACTCAGGAGGCTGAGATCTGAGGATCATAGTATGAAGTCAGCCCTGGCAAGATAACCCTGTCAGACTCTTTATCTCCAATTATCCGCAGAACACCAGAAGTGGACATGTGGTTCAAGTGGTAGATTGTTAGTTTTGAGTGAAAAAGCTAAAGGACTGTGCTCAGGCCCTAAATTCAAGACCCAGTGACAACACAAAACAAACAAACAAAAACTAGTTATATTTCAATCTGAAGTATATGCAGTTCTCTTTATTAATGTTCTCTCACTGATTTGCATACTGCAGTGGTAAAAAAACCAACTTCGGTTTCTTCCTATTGCATCAACTTCCCTTTTCTGTAGGACTCTCTCTTCCACCCCTTCAGAATGCCCTATAACTTGTCAAGATAGGTTGAGCATGACTTTTTCGCTCATTATAACAGGAGGTCATTTTAATAGAGGCATTGAACTTGAATGTGGGTTTTAGGGTAACTTTTGAATATTTTAATTACCAGTAAGACAATTTCTTAATGTTACAGACACACACACACACACGCACGCACGTGCGCACACACACACACACACACGGAAGCCTGAAAATAGCTTGCTTTCTTTGGAGAAAGACATGGCTGAGGGCTGAGCATGCATAGTAATAACTTTCTACCCATTCACCAGGGACTGTCTAAGAATATCTCCCAAACTAATGAATAATGACACAGTAGTTAGCATGGTGGCATCAGCAGGTGGCTGTTACAGCAGGGGTGAAAGTGTCTATGTGCCACAACTAATTGCACCCTAGAGAACTGTGCAGAATGATTATTGTTTTTACAATGCAATATGATTTTTGTTCTTTTGGCACTTACTAAACCTCAGTGGATAGAACTGCGGTACACCTAGAGAAATCGTGTGGTGGCTGTGTTACTTGGGAGGTAGGGATAGTGGGAGGAGCATACAGTTTGAGGCTGGCATCCAGCAAAAAAGAAACTCATGAGACTCCATCTCATCCACTGGCTGGGAACGGTGGCACGCTTCTGTCATCCCAGCTACTGAGGTAGCACAGTGCTTGGGTATAGTAGTGTCTACCTATCATCCCCAGAGACAAGAGGAAGCACAAATAAGGAAACTCAAAGCCCAGGCCAGCCCAAGTATAAAGCAAGATCCTCGCTTAAAAATAATAATAATGAATTTAAAGAGAAGAGAAAGTAACAAGGAAAATAAAGCATCAGTGCAAAAAAGGGACTGGTGGTGTGGCTCAAGTGGGAGCATACCTTCTTAGCAAGCCTTGAGTTCCATTATCCATAGGATAAGAAAAAAAAGACAAAGATGGATTCAATCTTTCCCCGAAGCTTTTCAAATGAAAAGAACAGCAGCAGCATCAACGCCATCAGCAACTGGCATCCAGGCAGCACAAAACTCCCCAGGAAACTTCTAGACTCTCGTACTCTTCTTCTTGTGATCTCTCCTTTACTTCTCTCCTGCGTCCATCCAGGACCTGTGAAAGGATTCTCAGCGCATGGCAGAGCCGTGACAGATGAGCAGAAAACTGTAATCTGTCCCTGTCTTTTGGGACCAGAGGGGTCATTGTGATGACGAAGGGGTTAAAACTGTCCACGCCTACCATAGCTTAGAAATAATTAGGTTTAATATAAACCTGAGAACTTGTCGCTGATGCCACCAGATTACTGCCTTGTAGGAAATCTCTATTAGTCTGTTCCCAAATCATGCTTTTAGAATGCCTGTGGGGAAAAGGTTATTGTTTATGAAAACAAATGAGATGATTAAAGATGATGGTGGATTTTTTTTATTATTTTGGAAGATGCATTTTGAATTAGCACTTACTTTCAGATAAAACTTGCAGAGACGAGTATTTTTTTGCACAGGAGATAGGAATCCAGGTTTTAATAGCCAAGACTGTTATTAAGTTTATTAATGTGTAGTGTGGCGTGACATGGGTTAGCAATGCAAATGCTTACAAGGTGGTCTTTTATTTCATCCTTTTTCGCTTTGCATTTCTGACAAGGAACATAATAAGTAAAAAAAATAAGTAGACTATTTTAAATGAAACACTGGCTTGAGAAAAATAAAATGCGCTCTTCATTAGCTTGAAAGAAAAAAATATATATACATAAAAAGCCCCACCAAAATAATAAAGAAAACAAAACAAAAACCTCCAGATTCCTTAAGCAATTGGTTGTTTTTTTGTTTTGTTTTGTTTTTTGCAAGCCTACATGATAACCAGGAAGGGGCAAGCATGACTTGAGAACAGGACAAAGAACTCATGCTGGACTAGGGGAAAAAATGGGCAAAGGAGAATGTGAATAACCCGGCTATGTTCAAATCCACAGGTCCCTTTGGCTGGCGTCCTAGCGTACTTTATGAATTGGCCGAAGTCATCACAGAACCGCTAGCTATCAGTTTTGAGAACTCGTGGAGGCCTGATGAGATGCTGACGACTGGAAAAGGGCATATTTAGAATCTTCTTCCAGAAAAGGGAACTTGGATGGTGACCCTGGAAATACTCATCAGCTTAACTCTTTGCTGGAATGATCAACTTAACAAAATCTGTAAACTGGCTTATAGTACCTCAGGAAAGCAGTTAAAAAATAACAAAAAAAAGAACTACATATAAAGTATTGAGCTCACTTCTCAAAGTACACATCTTACACGTATCTTGGATTTTCTCTTGTTTATTCTGTGACTTCTTGATAAACATAGATGGGGTTGAGGAATTTTGTAATTGCTAATTTTAAGTATAATTCAAACAGTTTATGACACAACTATTAGTCCTATCATCTCCCAATTAGCTTTTTATCTTGAGAACAGTAGCTTTCATTTAATATATTTCACATGCATGTATCGCTTCGTATAGATTTTATTATGTTAAGGTATTTCACATAATCCTATATAAAATGGTTTGGTGAAGGAATTCTTATTTTAGGAGAATCTATAGAGTTATTTCATATAGAGGTATGATCAGAAGACTGATACATTCTCTTAGTGATGACACTAAGAAAAGAAAATTTCTCCTGACTTTTCTTTCAATTTGATCCAATTGAAGGTGATAAGGATGGCGTGTGCTGACCCATATCAAGCAAGTGCAGGGCATCTATTCTGAAAGAATCTTTTTCTTTGCTAGGTGATGGCCAGCCCCAGCTCCTCCTGAGCTCCAGGCTTGCTCAGTGGCTCCCAACTACAGGTGTGGAGGTGGACAGAGGGCAGTGACATTGGCGTGAGGAGGGGTGGTGAATCTGGAGCTTTTCTGATTCGTATTGCCATTCCCCCTTGGGTATGGGAGTTTTATTTTCTGCTTAGAAAATACAATGTCAGTGGGATGGGAACTTAGTGGAAAGGAAGCCATGGAAGAAGATGTGTACTTACAGCCAGCTCCTGGGGTGGGTGGGTTTTAGAGCCCCTAATCTTCTTTTCTCTTCTTAGAAAGATAAGTTTAAATAAGCTCAGTCATGGACATGAACAGGAAACTGTTAAAGGAAATGAGATTGTTATTAATCTCCTCTTGACTAGAAATAGATAAGCAATTGAAAAAAAATTAGGTGGCCAAGGGCATATTTCTTTTTTTTTCTCTTTTTTTCCATTTTTCTTCATAACCTTCCCTCCCTCCCTCCCTCCCTCCCTCCCTCTCTCCCTCCCTCCCTCCTTTCCTTTCTTCCTTCCCTTCCTTTCTTCCATCCTTCCTTCCTTCCCTCCCTCCCTGCCTGCCTGCCTGCCTAGCTGACTTCCTTCCTTCTTTCCTTCCTTCCTTCCTTCCTTCCTTCCTTCCTTCCTTCCTTCCTTTTCTTTTTTGATAACACTAGGATTTCAACTCAGGCCTTGTGTATGCGAGACAGGTACTCTACAACTTGAGCCAGATCCCCAGCCCTTTTTCCTTTAGTTATTTTTCGGGTAGAGTCTTGTTCTTTCTGCCGTAGACAGTGAGTTCTACCTCCACCTCCCAAGTAGTTGAGATTACAAGTGTGTACCACCATGCCTTTGTTGAGATAGAATCTCCCTAACTTTTTACCTGGGCTGGCCTTGAATTGTGTGATTCTCTGTGTCTCTGCTGTAAGAACATTTTTTAACACAATATCATTCTGAAAATCTAAAGATTTAAATAGTTTAGCTATTTTTAAAAGTTAAAATAGGCACTGAGTAAAATCTGTCTTATTCTAAACATGGCAATTAAGTTTTAGTAACATGTATCAATTGCCCTTTAGACTATACATAGCTTTCAGTTTTTAGGGATTATATTTCAGTCAACCATCCATCATCTTTTCAAGTGAGCTAGTGTTTACAATTTCCAAGTTAGATTATTTTTTAAGGATTAGGGGGAATCTGTATAGATTACTGATATAATTTATTATGCTAATAAGTGGTTTCTTGTTTGAGACCTCATTTCCAGGTGCAGCAGATATGGCAGATTTATTTTACAGATGTTCATTTGCATACATTTGATGCACTGTGGGTAGAGAGGACCCAATTTCTGAAAAACCCATTATTTTTCACTATGGGCATTATAATATAATTTACTGCAACCCAAAAAGGCTCTTAGGTCATTTCAGGTTTTATTTCCTATTTGAGTAAGTTCTGATTTCAATTATTTGACCAAATTTAAATTATATCTCTGTGTCCACTATGGGAATTTGAAATTATCCATAGTCTGCCCTAGTTAAAGCCAGTTAAAGCTAGAAGAAGAAAGGTTTAGGCAGAAAAGCATTGCAAAAAGACCATTAATTTCTTCTTATTAAAAGAAGATGAGATAAGATTGAGGAAAGAATTCTTCTGAGCATGAATTACGTCTAGAGATATTTATGCTTAAGAGGAGCAAGCTTTTCTGTTTTTTTTCCTTTTATCTGAAATTTGAATGTAAAGGCAGTAGCAGTTAACAAAGGAGCAAATATTTTTTGAAGACTGAAACTTTGAGTTTCCTAGTCTTGATTGTATTTCCTAGGATGTCAGGTGATTAATTAGATACTTTTATTTCATAACATTTAGGAATTCGGAGGACAGTAAAAAAGTTTTCTTCAATTCACTCTAACCTTTGGGGGATAGAGTCAAGGAGAAATTATATTCATGTAGAATATTTTATTCATGTAGAATATTTTTGTTCATATATTTGTTAGCTGAGCATGATGGTACCTGTCTAGAATCTCTGCACTCATGAGGCCAAAGAGACCAGCCTGGCTCTTTAGCAAGAATCTGTCTCAGAAAAGAAAAAGAAAAAAGAATAGTAAAAGAAAGGGGAAAAAATGAGGGAACTATTTCTCCTCTCAATTTTAAGGGCTCCATCCTTACTAATGGAAAGGAAAAAACCCTGAGTGTATAGTATTTCTGAGAACGCAAAGTGTTTCTTAATCCCAAGAAATTTAAAGTACCATGGTATTAAAAAAGAAACAGCAATAAGTTTAGAGTTTTTTTTTTTGAAGTTACTCAGAGCTTAACTCAAATTCTAGAATTATCCCAACAGTGCTTTCCGATGGTGAATCTGTTAGAAGTTTTAAAGTACAGCTTGGGGAATGATCTCAAACAATTAGGAACTATATAAAAGCATCTGCTCCCCTGTCCATAATGTAGGGGAAATGAGGACATTCTACAGCTCTGAAGGGCTTAAGCTACATCTACAGCTTACACACACTCCCAGTTCATGGCCCAGGCCTGGCTTTAGTAGATGCTCTTTACCTCCCTGCCTCCCGTTCTCAACATCCAGTTACTTTGCCTCTTACATGGACAAGATTACATTAAAATGAACTAGGAAACTCAAGCATCTATTGACCTATCCTACTATCATCCACAGACTTTGACCTTTTTGCTTTCTTTTAAGATGGCTTCTTCGTCTACTCATAGTAGTTTGGTAAATGTATAGGGATTTAAATGCAAAGAATATGATTAAAGAAAAATAAAACACTGATGGTCATTTGCTTCAAGGCTAACGCTCTTCAGATCTGGGAAAACAGTTCCCTAGACACACATGAACGTGTTTTGTTCCCATTCTTATTTTCATAAGAGCTTCAGGTTTACAAATTTGAGGGTATAAAACGAGTGAGCTGCAGATGGGCATTTTGCTTGGAGTTCAGACTGTGATTTACACAGTAGGCATATAAATAGCGTTCCATCCTTACTGCATCTGGCATGAATCCAGCCAGGACATGAAGCAGATGATGGCGAATCGCCGACTCTTTCCTTTGAACAGAGAAACCGGCAGTAGTGGCAGTGGGAGAACCAGCAGTGGGAGAATTGAGATGGGCACGCCTGAATCTCTCTGTAAAGTGTCTGAAAGTTGTACCTAGGTCCCTTTCATGGTTAAAGAGAAAACAAAGAGACAGTAAAGAAAATAAAGTTCTAGACAATATGTTGGACTTATGCAGATTCTTTCATGTAATATTTAATTCACTTTTATAAACTTGTATTCAGGCTGATGGACGGTGTGTCAACTTTGAGGTGGAGAAGCCAGGGACATAGAAACAGAAGTGTCCATTCTCAATTCCAAACAAATGGCTAGAAACTGATGTGTGTGTGTGTGTGTGGTGGTGGTGGTGGTACTGGAGATTGAATCCAATGCACTCTCCCTTGAACTTCATCTTCAGGCCAAGACGGTCTTAAAAGTGATCAGCTGATGACTTAGAATAAAACCACACACATATACATGCACACGTGCGCACACACCCACCCATACACACACAACAATGCTCTATTAAATCCAACAAGTTGTGCAGAGCAAAGCAAACTTGGCTTTCTGTTATAGAATTTTTAATTTTACTGTTACCTGTCAATATTTTCTATATCAGGTATTTTACACTGTTAGGTTTTTGATCTAAAAATTATCTGTTTTATATGGTTGTTTCCATTTTAAATCTCGAGTGAGACAAAATCAAATAACATTCTAGTCTGTAATCATTCATTAGTCATTATTTTTGATACGTCCATAAAAAGCAAATGGAGATAAATAATGACAACTAGTTTAGAAAAATAAGCGGCATAACTAACTCTGTTTTTACTTATTGAAATATTTTACACTTCTTTAAGATCTGGAAACTTTTTTTTTGTTGTTGTTGCTATCAATGATAGATTTTAGACGACAGTAAGGTTAAATTTCACAATAAGAGCTCAGTGTTTGTTTTTTTTTAACACAATGTTGTCAAAATTTCTCCCATTGAACCAAAAAAATAGATCAGCTTCTAAATGCTTAAGATGAAAAGCATCTTAATCATTTGTGTAGATAAATTCTGTATCATGCCCTTGATTAGATCAACTTTCCCTTATTCCAAAATGAAATATTGTGTTGATCCAGGGTTCAGTGATATTGTCGACTGCAGTGGTAGCCTGGTTTCTTGGCCATGTTCTGAAACACTGATTTATTACAACATGGAAAGTTTTTCTCTGTTCATCTTTGCAGGAATCTGAGAAATCAACCTGTATTTTATATAAGTAGCCAAACTGATTCGCCTTAATTGAAAGCTAGCCTTCATGTTGTAAAGGTAATTGCAAATTGACACCTTTGTTCTTTCCTTTTAGTTATCTTTTCTAAAAAGGGATTGTGCACGAAGACCATGAAAAGCCTAATTGAGACATCCTCATGAACCATGTCATGTATGCCCATGCAGCACTGCGATTCTCCAACATCTGTCCACCCTTCAATAAATGTTACGGCTTTCACTGCAGCCCTGCCTTGGCCTCTTTTGTAAATTGTTCCCATTTTGATGAATGCAATCGTTGGTGCGCTGTCTAAATTGACAATAGATAAGTGTTTATAGCATAATAGCATTACAGTCAGCATGGGAAATCGGAGTTCCAACCAAGTCTCCTACATTGCATGCAAAGGCAGCCCGGATCATTCTGTGCATGCGCTGAAAGGGTTGTTGTACTTGTTACCTAGGAGTTGTGTGGCTTCCTCTTGTGAGATTTTGGGCAGTTGTAGGGTGGGGGTGGAGTGGTGGGGTGCATGAACTGGTAGAAGGGGTCCTGCGTGGAGTTTCTCAACATGCATCTCCATTACCGAAAATGCTTAGGATTCA